TAGGACCATTGATCTTCTCTTCAATGACTGGCATATTTGACAAAGCAATGGTCTCAGAAGGAACTTCTACAGTAATTTTGAACACAGCCTGCAGGGAGAGAAGGAAAGGTCAGACATAAAATAGTGTTTGCCATGTAATATAAAGCCATTAATGTTTTTTCTGTGCCAATTACGCATTTTAAACGCCAGTTAAACCGGTGAAGTTAAATCCTAACCATGAAATCAGGGTAAAATGAATGAGCTCATACAATAATCCTGTAAAATGAATGAGCTCATACAATAATCCTAACCATCAAATCAGACTAAAATGAATTGAGATCATCTATAGAATCTATGAAAGGACAACTACAAAGAATCTCAATCTGCATGAGCACAGATATGTTCATGTAGAGAATAAAACCTCTGTTTTATCCTTAACACTAGCATCAATTGAACTTGTTCATGATTACCATGCAAGACTCTAAGTCTATACACATCTTACCTCATGCAATGGAAGCAAAAGCAAACATAAGATAGTATAAAGAATAGAAGGGAGTAGATAGAAAAACAAAGTGGTGAAGCATGAATGGTACCTCTCCATAAACCCCATGCAGGGTTCTATTTCCTCATGCAATGCAAATAAAAAGCAAACATATTGGTTTGAGAAAGAGATCAAAGCAGTAAACCTTGAAAGCAGGCTCATCCCAACAAGGGAAGCAGTGCCTTGCATCAGCTGGTTCAAACTGTGTTACAGCCATGTTTTTCTTCTCTCCATTGAGCTCATACACACTATAAACAAAAAGTTTCATTCTGAATATGTTGCTTGATTTACAAACCAACTTAATACTAGAAAAATGATTACCTTCTGTAGAACCCATGCATCTTATCATTCAAAGTTCCCTGGAAGGCAATGGTCAAAGTTCCCTCCCCAAGAGGAAGCACCTCATTGAAGCGAATAATCAGGATCTCATCTTCTGGCACGTTGGTAACCTCCAAAGGTTGCAGCACCTGATTCAAATGGTAACATGATTTAGAATAAATGCAGAGCAAAGTGCTAGTGCATTGTTAGAAACACCATCATAAACCCTCCAAGACGACTATCACCATCCACACATGGCCCTTTTTGCAAACCATCCTAAGTGCAAAAGTGCCATTCCCACTCAGAGATTAAAACATGCAGCGTACAGTTTCAAAATGAGAATACTTGTATGATTGCAGGAAACTCTTATGCTTGAACAAGTATACAAGCAGCCGTAAGTATTAAACCATATCACTGAGGCATCTACGAGTATTGAGACCTTCACTGACAGTTATATTTATATTCGTGCTCCAAGTGTAATCTAAAATTGTTTGAACACAAAATCATGGATTTCAATCAATCAACTAAGAAATTTTAAGGCAGATTTAACTTGCAATCAATCAAATTGCAAGAAATTCCGAGGTAGCTATAGCCCTAAAAAACTACACTAAGTTTAAGACAGCGATCTCATGCCCCCAACCCCAACCCCCTCCGACAGACAGTCACCGATGGCTGAACTGTGGAAATTGCTCTGAGCAGATCAAAACTTAGTGTTCTTATGCGACTGGTATTCTGGTAAAAAAGCACTCCATCTAAGAATCCTAGCTGGCACCTCCGAAAAGATCGCCACATCTAATAATTCTCTAAACCCCTAACCATACACGAACAGATCAATCAAACACACCGGCGCACAGGCACAGCGACGGGCGGGCGGGAGCAAAGGCAAGGCAAGCGAGCAAGCACGCAACCTGGTCGGAGCCCTGCGGCGCGAAGCTGACGCCCGCGGGCGCGACGTCGAGCTCGGCGGCGTTGAGCACGAGGAAGCGGGTGGGCGCGGCGACGGCGAGGGACACCGCCACGGAGCCGGCGAAGGCGCAGGCGGCGAGGTCGGGCGTGAGGCGCAGGTCGTAGCGCCGCGGGGTCGCGAAGTGGGGCAGCCGCGCCTGGCCCCGGAACTGCTCCGCGGTCTGCTCCGCCGCCATCGCCCGCAGCCGCAGCCTAGCGGAAGGAAGGAAGGAGGCAGAGATTCGGATGGAAGCTTCGGAGGTGAGTGGAGGAATAAAACTGAAACTGACGAAGCGCTCGGCGTGGCGAGGGGACGGGGGGTTTTAAGCGCTTTGCGGTTTGCGACTGTGATCTGGATGATTACGCGGAGGAAGGACGATTTTATATATATAATAATGTTTTTTTATTTTATTTATTTATACTCGGGGGGTGGGGACCCCTGCGTCCCTGCCGCAACGCAACGGATTGGCTTGTGACCAGGGGCGGCGGACGCGAGGCACAGCAGCAGCAGAGGAGAGCAAAGCCGTCATCATCGAATGGCGATGGTGATGGAGACGAAGCCCTCTTCGTCCTCCTCCCCGGTACACCTCTCTACGGTATCTGCTCTCTTGCTCCGGTTGATAATCCGCGTCCTTGGCATCATCACCATCGGTTGGCGACAGCTAGCAGACTCATCAAGCCTTAACTTCTTCGGTGCCCCACACCTGAGGCAAAAGACCACGTGATCGAGTGGCTCTCTGCAATATGAAAGAAAGGTACAAATAAAGTGAATTGAGCGACCCAACATAACAACAGTGAGTAAAGACTACAAATGCTACCCTAACCTACGGTGCCAATAGAACGGTGTTGGGTTGTCCCTCCTAAATTTTAGTCGCTGTCCCATCGAATATTTGGATATATGCATGAAGTATTAAATATAGACTAATTATAAAACTAATTGCATAGTTTGCGACTAATTTGCGAGATGATTTTTTAAGCCTAATTAGTCCATGATTTGACAATATGGTGCTACAGTAAACATGTGCTAATGACGGGTTAATTAGGCTTAGAAACTTCGTCTCGTGAAGTACTGACACATTATGTAATTTATTTTTTTATTAGTATCTGAACACTCTATGCAACATCTCCCAACACACCTCCTAAATTTTAGTCAATGGATCAAACACTCATCAAACAAAACAGTGCTACGGATAGTCCTGGCGGACCATCTGGCACGTCACCGGACCATCCTCAGGAACCCTAGACGGTTCCGCCTACACTCTCGCGGACCGTTCTAGAGAACACTTGTTCTAGTAAACTGTCCGGCACACTCCTAGACCATCAGCCAAACACGAACGGTATGAATAAGACCAGCGGCGAAGCCAGTGCATATGTGTCAGGGTCATGCAACCCCGATAACTTTGTACGAATCAGTGGAACCCCGCGTATTCCGGCCAGCTACGACCCCATCAAATTGAGTTCATGAATCTATGCGACCCCGGCAGTAGTTTAGTCTAGATTCGCCGCTGAATAAGACCCGTGAATCACAAATCCACCCATATCTTCTAATCTACTTAGTTCTATATCGCCAAATCTCACACAGAGGTTCGCCCAAACATGCTCTGCAAGATCGCCAACAGCTTTTACATCAATCCATAGCCAAAAAGTAGACCGACTCAACACTAGGGTTGCATCCATGTAGAAAAAGCAAATTCGGAGCAAAGGAATCGGATGGTGAAGACAAAAGAAAAAAACAAAACCGAGAAAGAAAGATTGGTGAAGAAAAAAGAGAACGGGAAAAAGATGGAATACTGAAACAGAAAAAGAAATAAAGATGAAATGACAAAAATAATTGGAATAAAAAAGGCGGTGGAAAAAACTAAACGGGGCTGAAAAAATAAAAAAAAGGGAAAAACACGGCAAAAAGATAGAACGAAACAAACGAAATGTTCTCGTGAAAGAAAATCCAAAACAAAAAAAAAGACCGAAACCAAGAAATTCTTCATGGTTTAATGTTATTACTAACAAATATGCATGTGCGTTGTCACAAAACTCAATATGTATAGAAATTGGACTCTGTATTTGCTAGACGCGAATTGTCCTAACGCGTATGACCTGATCATGAGTCCACACGAGTTCTTCTAACTCGTATAAGCACGGGGCATGATCCCGTGTCACATACAACAAGATAACGAAGGCGCGAGCCAATATGTCTTAGAATCGAACTCTCTATCGATCATCGCTAGATACGAGTTGTTATAGCTTATATGATCATGGATCAAGAGTTCAGGTCACATACAAGACGTAGAGGGTGTGAGTGCAGATTGAGAAGTTAAAAAGCCGGACAAAAGAAACTTTCTATTGTCCAGGTAGATAGTGAGACGTGGACGAAAGTAATAGGCTAAAATTTTGGCTCTTGGATATTAGGTATAGATTATGATAAGATTAGAGCAAGATTTGTCTAACTTTTACTTTTACCTTTTTTAATTGATTCAGCTTCTTTAGATTCAGAAGAATCTATTTAAATTAGGATTCGTAGCTACTCAGGTTATCTTAAGTATCCAAGCCATACTTATGTGATAGTTTCCACACTCACGGAGTGATTTACGAGAGCGTCACCTTTTTTTCTCTTTAATATTAGATATAGATATACTATATTTTTCTTTTGACAAAAAGTTAGATATATCTAGAAATACCTAGAAATTACTATACCTTTGCACCTAGCTTGCCGATTGAAGACCAAAACTAAGATGAAGAAGTAAGTGGTATCGAGTAACTAATCAAATCATGAGGAGTCATACGACGTGGAGTACATCAAATCGTTTTTTGGTTTAATGTTGAAGTAACTTGAAGGTTAAAGCTATAAATTGAACTCTTACGTGTTGATTGAAAATTTGAAATATAGTTCAAATCAAATGCTCAACCAGCTAAGCGGAATCCACTTCCAGTGGACACCTGAGCCTTCTCCACCTCTCCGCCCAGCGCACCAGTCATCGTAGCACCCACCCACATACCTATAAATAAATAAATACAAAATACTCGATCGGACGAACATCCCCATGCTTCCATCATCCTCCACACTCTTCCGGTGTTCCCTCCCCCTCAGGCCCTCACTATATAAATCCTCCTGCTGCTTACCGTCTCACCTCAATCCCAAGAGCAACGCGAGATCACAATTCACACGACCTCAGATCACCTGCAATTGTCGATCAGCAAAGCCAGCTTAAAGCCAGGAGCAATGGAGTTCACGTTCGGTGGCTTCGGCGACCCGGTGTTGTCGGCTGCGTTGCAGCAGCTGATGGACCTGCCCGACGAGCTGGAGCGGCACATGAACGCGCCGACGCGGGCCTACGTGCGCGACCGCCGGGCCATGGCCAACACGCCCATGGACGTCAAGGAGTTCCCGTCCGGGGCGATCGTCCTGACCGTCGACATGCCCGGGGTCAGCCCCGCCGACGTTAAGGTCCAGGTGGAGGAGGGCAACGTGCTCACCATCAGCGGCGAGCGCAAGCGCCCCGCCGAGGACGGCGCTGCCGCTGAGGGCAAGCAGCAGGCCGCCGCCGGTGCCGACGGCGAGAAGCAGGGGGTGAAGTACCTGAGGATGGAGAGGCGGATGGGCAAGTTCATGAGGCGGTTCCCACTGCCGGAGAGCGCCGACCTGGACAGCATCCGCGCCGAGTACAAGGACGGCGTGCTCACCGTCACCGTCGACAAGAAGCCACCGCCCGAGCCCAAGAAGCCGCGCGTCGTCCAGGTCACGGTCGGCGGCGAGCAGCAGGGCGAGTAAGGAGGCGACATACGCGTGACCGATGCTCGTCATCAGCCGGACATGGCGGGTGACGAGCGAATAACAATGAGGGTGTGATGCTTTCTTTGTTCTGCACTTCTGCTTGGTAGTAGTTGCTAGTTAGTAGAATAAGTGACTGTAATATAGTCATTGTACATGCATGTACTTCGAGTGCTTCTGCTTGTATCAGTTCCCGGACCCCCTCCCTCTTCCGCTCCGGCAGCTCTCCGGCGCGCGACGGGAGGTGGGCCGGCCCCTGTCCAGTCGTCCAGTATATCTAGTTTACCTTCCGTACCGCCCATAGTGGTGCGTTCTTTGGAGCTCCGCCAGCAGATGGTGCGGTGGATGCTCCCAATCTTCTTCCTCGCCGGCGTTTTCTCTACGTTTGGTGGGGATGCGCTCATTGACGTTGCTCTTCCCGTTGATGTCGTCATCGGCAACCGTGTGTCATAGGGCTCGCATCGGTGTCGTCCTTTGGGCGCGCTCTTCCGCGAGAGCTGCTGAGTGCTGACTGCCGCGTCCCGTGGCCGGGTCTTGCTCGGAGTGGGCGTGGGGTTCCTCGCCGCCGCCGCGGGCGGTAGTTCCTCGGCTCCCTTCCTCGCCGGCCCCATGGATTCTCGGCAGCTGCATCGTGCGCCTGGTCGCAATGGTTGTGCGGTCTTTGGCTTCATTTATCGAAGCCGTCGGTGCTGTCGCTGTGACTCTGTTGCTGCAGTTTGTGCTGCTGCCGTGCCCTGGAAGGTCTCGTCGCCGGCGATCTGTCTCTGCCGTCGTCGTTGGGCGGTCTCTCACTCTCCTCGATGGTGCTCTGGAGTCCTGCTTGCTGTGTTCAGATGTGGGTCCCACATCGGCCTGCACAACTTTCGTACGTCGCTCGTGGGGCTCTCGAAGCGTGTCCTCTTCTAGAGCCATGTTCGGCTGCCAATAAATTAGACGTAAAAATTAGCACATGCGACTTATAGATCGATCGAACATGTACATCAGTGTCGGTTAAGTACTCTGCTAGTACTTGTTTTAATTGTTTTCACAGGTGCCCAAGTGGCAAAGCGTCAGCAAAGGTTCTGACCTCCAGCAATCGTCGAATTGATCCTCAAATTCAAGGTTGACAGACAGCAAGATGGTCCTCAGATTTAAGGTTGACAGACGTGGCGTTCAAATTCAACGTTGACAGGATCAGATTTACGGTTGATAGATGTGGCGTTAGATGGTCCTCAGATTTACGGTTCACAGATGTGGCGTTATTATTTTCTTTAGTCCCGTGTCTTAGAGAGTCGTGGGAAGCGACAACTTCAGGGCCTGTTTGGCATGCGATTTTTTTTTTCAAACACTTATTTTCAAAACAGTTTTATAGGCGTGTGAAGCTATTTTTCTCCTCTCTCATAAAGACATGAGTTGTAATAAAGCTGAAAATAGTAGTTTATCTTAACTCTCTCCCTCATGAACAGTTGGTGAAACTATTTTGCTAAACACTTTTTTTAAAACAGCTTAGCTTTACTTAAGAAAAAAGCTACTCTTCACTAGTCAAGCTAAGTTGTGCCAAACAGACTCTTAGTATTATAATATATACTGAGTCCTTAGAAAATGTTATAGATGTATTACTTGCTAATTGCTATTCCCTTCGTTTCAAATTACAAGATGTTTTGACTTTTCTACATACACTGCTTACATATTGTTTTTAATATGTATCTAGACATAATGTATATGTAAATACGTAGCTAAAGTTATGTATCTAGAAAAACCAAAACGTCTTATAATTTAAAATGGAGAGAGTATATAGCTATGACATGGAGTATGACAACGTGTTTTGCGGAGTAGAAGTTAAAAAAAACGAATCCAAAATTCAGAAAGATTCAAACCTAGCTAATTCCACATTGACTACCAAAAATAGCAATGATATATCAAAATCGATCCCAGAACATCTTTCATCACCAGAGGATCATCCTGGACAACCTCAAGGAGCTGAACGCCCCATTTCGTCTTCCGCGCACTTGTTTCGTTCTTACTTCTACCGTGGCATCTTTGCCACGCTCTTCTGAAGTACCACCTGCTTCTTTTCTGACGAACAATGCAATGAAGAAGCCCTCCAGGCCATCCTCAGGGTCCGTCCGAAGCAAATGTTCAGCTGCAAAGCAAACGAGGGAAGCCATGGTGACGTGAGGGGGCTACGTTCAGAGACATTCACTGGGAGTTGAACGCGTAGAGGGCGTACATCCTTGGAAAACTGGAAGGCCGCGGCGATGCCACTGAGGGAATGGTGTGGCAAGCTCAAATCCGAGGGATGTAGCTAAGGGCAGGACGGAGTTCACGACATCCTCGTTCTCTGCCTGGTGGATTGAGCAAGTGCTGTAGACCACTCTCTCCACAGAGGGAACTGCAAAGGTGAAGCCGTGGAGGGAAGCTTCAGTTCGTGCAAATAGTTGTGCACTGACATGTGACTATTCATATTCAAGTGACAAATGGCATAGGGACTTACATGATAGAGCATGGGAGAGAGCTTTCTTTTGGAAAGCGGAGAGTTTCATGACCCTTGAGCTTGTACTCGCGTCATCCTCATTATCTGCAGAGCAAGGCTTATTTCATGAGATATTGCGATGAAAAGTTACTAAACGCCCCAAACTTGAACCCCTCCCTTCCCCTCCTTCAAACTAGATAGATAGTCTGCAGATCAGGACGTAGTAGGCCAAAATAACGGTGGAGTACCACTTTATTATACGCCAAGAAATATATACAAACTATAAATATATGGTAAATACTGTACTAGTCAGTAGCAAAAAAAAATGAACGTGGTGTATATGCATCATTATTGATAAATGTGACTTTGCACCTGCCCCTGATGCTGATATGCAAACAATTCTTAGTGACAGTTGTTTCATAGTTTCAGTCCAAATAAGATAAGTAGGCATATTGTGCTAACTACATAAGGTTAACCTTGCCCAGCAGCCTACAATGTAACTGACGCAACTCACAAAACAATGATGCCAACAGAATCAAATAACATTCCTTCTTTTTTTTATGAAGGTAACAGAATAAAATAGCAAAATTTTTGCTACAAAAGCCTTTAGTTACCTCTAGAATGTGAAGGAAGCAAATAATCAAGTCTCTCTGTAGATATTCCAGAACCAGAGCACGAGGGGTCCAATAGAATAGCACGGACCTGCAGCAATCACCATCATCACATCAATGCAAATGACAAAATCATGGATAATGGCTTTGCAAGATGAAAGAGAACTACTAATGTGTGCCCAGTGAGGTTAATAAGCTACCAATAGAAGTGGAGGTATCTACAAACCTCAGCATATGATGGATCGTTTCTATCTACTTCCAGAAAGTCGCCATTAACTATTTGAATATCTTTAGCAATAAGTTCAGAAATGTGGTTGTCGTATCAAATGTACTATAATGAATATTGTTGAACATAATGGATAACATATGACGAGAACACATATCATTGGATGAAGATCAAACTAGTCAATACATATCAAAACTAATTCTATGCCTTTGTGCTTTGCAGTAAGGAGACAAAGACAGTTTAACAGTAAAAACTACACAAAAAATAAAATATAATTGCAAGGTTGATAGATCTGAAAGATCATCAGGAAAGGATACTATTGGCTCCAGATCTTCTGACAGTATGTTGCAATGTCTTGGCCCTCTCTTTGTTAAGTTCGCAAGCTACAATACTTCCCTCTCCATTCATGAGCGCAGCAAGGTGGACTGTTTTGTTCCCTGGAGCCGCACATGCATCAATAACCTAAGTTTAAATGTTCAAGCTGAAATTAATATTCGAGATTATATAACTCTAAAGGTGATATGACAGATTGAAATTTTCAACTGGTACATCAGATATCAATGAAGCAAATCCACAAACAACAAAAACAACAACAACAACAACAACAACAACAACAACAACAACAACAACAAAGCCTTTTAGTCCCAAGCAAGTTGGGGTAGGCTAGAGTTGAAACCCAATATGAGCCCCTAGTCACGGTTCAGGCACATCAATAGCAGCTTTCCAAGCACTCCTATCCAAACAAAGGTCTCTAGGTATATCCCAACCTTTAAATCTCTTTTTATTGCCTCCCCCCATGTCAACTTCGGTCTTCCTCTACCTCTCCTCACATTGATATCTCGACTTAGGACTAAGCAAATCCACAAACAAGCATAGAAATTCTGTATTCTACATAAAAATAAAATAACATTGAGTGAAAATATCAGTACTATTTATTGTTTCCCTACCTGAATGACCACATTTTTTAAATAAGAAGATGAATAGATAGAAACTTAGGGAGTAGAGACGGTATACTATTTGCCAAGTTAAGTTAAAAGCATACACAGCACTATATTCTAGACAGCATTATTATTTTGTAAATTCCAAACCATCCAGTCCGATCGTAACACCAAAGTTAATAAATAATTCTTATCTTCACTGAAAATGCTGGCAAAATAAAATATCAATAAATTTTAGTCCGTCAGATACAACACACTAACCTTCCAGCCTGGCTTAGGGCACAATGCAACTGCTACCATACAACTAGCTCTCCCCTATGAGAACAGGTAGGAATGAAGAAAAAGGTCAATTACACAATTATTATAAATCATGTGACTTTCTCAAAAGTAAGCAAAAGAATCAGAAGGTCACCTGCAAAAACACTTTCCCATCTGTAACCAGCGGATGGTTATGCAAATCAGTTCCAGGTGGGAGTACCAACATGTCTGGAATCATATCATCTTTGTCAACCTATTCAATACTGAGTGACTGAGTCAAGTGTCATCAACAACGGACAACGGTAGAGCTCAAAAGTAAGGTTGCAGTTGCAAAGATAGCTTCATAGGGAACACCAAACTAGAATGATGTTACTCAGATCAATATGCTTGCTTAATAACCTTAAAAGATAGATGAAATACCATGTGTATTTTGTTTAATTCTTCAATGACAGACTCTGTAGTGATCTTGAGCGTGTTAACACGAAGAAATCGGGGCTTTGGTTTGACTGAAGAAA